ATGCCCAGTTAACCGATAGCAACCAATATAATATACACAGGTAGATTTTCCTAAAATGTTCATTCATATAAATATTCTCCATGAAATACTCTTTCGTTTTAAAAAAAAATCAAGAAGATCTAATAAGTAGTTCCAGAGTTAAGCCTGTACAGAGATTTTCAATTAAATCTAAAAATCTTAAATAGGTATTCATGTTAATCTACAAATGCATTAAGATCATTAGATCTATATACATTCGAAATGTATGACCTAGATAAAGTAGACTAATGCCTTCAAGTTCGATGTGACCAGCATAGTACTCGCCAACTATGCTCATCAAATGTTTAAAATAAGTGTAAACATAGGTGCGTATATAATGTATTTAAAATATAAATGTTAATAATTGTTTTAAATACCTACAGCAGTACAGCCTATAAGGTGTAATTTATGTTTGTATTGCCAATTTTTTAAAACGTGAAACTTATTTTAAATTATTATTAAAACGTATTTAAAAATTATAAAATGTTCAATTTTCGTAGCTATAGATTGAAAATTTAAAACAATGATTCTCGTAAATAGTTCATACTGTAACCAAACAATGTGAACAATATATAAATACACAGTTATTTTTTACAGACATTTTAAGTTCAAATTTTTAAGAAACTTTATAGTAAAACGAATTTATAATATGAATATAAATTATTATTATTATTATTGTATTGTTTGTTTGAATTGACTTAACTTATTGTAAAAATGTAAAAATTTGGTTTTTATTTTCATGGTTTTTTTTTCTTTTGGTTTTTTGTTCTGTCTACCTCGAAGCCCATGAGGGTGTGCCGCGAAATTTTCCAAATTTCTCACTAAAAATAGGTTTTTTATAAAAATTGTAATGTATCTTGTTTTTCCATATCAATAAATTAAATTTTAAGATAATAATAATAATTTTTTTTCCATCCTACTATTTTAAATTGTTTGCTAGTAATATACTGATATACAACTACTTTGGTATTGATAATTAATATGATAAAAGTCTAGATAAAAAAAATATGTATACATATATAAGTCAGTGACAACTGACAAGTGTGCCGTGGCTAAATAAGGGTTGGGATTAGTGTGCCGCGAGGGAAAAAGGTTGGGATACTTTGGTTTATTGGTTATATTATTATTTATTATAAATAGAATATGTATAGTTCCTAGACATAAGGCCCCTGCAAATGGGTCATTTTTAAGGAGTTGTGTTTAGACAATTATTTCGTTCCTTCGATTACTGATTTTCTTTGTGTGTATAGTAAATGATCATTAGGGTGTGTATTATACTACCCTACCATCAGCCGCGACCCGCATCAATTTACAATACATTGTTATTTCTTATCTGGTTTATGGTCGCATGCACAAGCACAACTCATTTAATGTCTAAATCAAAATATTCAAAACCAACTTATGGACTTGAAATAGCCGTCGCACTGACAAAAATTAAGGTACGATTTGTGGTTCAATTTAAAAAATGTAAAGATGTTTGTGTTGGTAAACAAGTTTACTTTGCATCGGTCGGAGCACTTTATTAATTTTAGCAAATTCATGACGAGAATGCATATTTTACATTTTATTAATTTATAAATTTTTAGTATTGATTATGTTCAAAAATATTTAAAATATAAAAAATATGCTCTTACCGATGCAAAGTAGACTTGTTGACCAATTAAAACATCTTTATATTTTTTAAATCAAACCACTAGAAGTACTTTAATTTTTGTCCGTCGCTAAGGTCGTTTTGATGAAAAATTAATAGGGTTTGCAGGGGCCTTAATATATGTATATTACATATTTACATGCAGGGATTGATGTCCAAATAATTTTTTTCGTTTTTAATTTCAATTTTTGTTTTATAATTAGTTTTTAAACCTATTTTTTTCTTTTCTTTCAATTTCAAATATCACTTTTATATTTTTACGATTTTAATTTTGATTTCTGTTAGTTATAATTTATAACTAATAACTTATTACATATCGATGAATAATACTATTATGTAAAAATAAATGTTATAATACAACTATTACCAGGTGATCCATTTAACGTAAGACACTCATTTTTTTAAAAACTATTAACGCTAGCTATTAAACATTTTTTTTACATATTTATAACTAATAATGGGCTACTCATCTGAAATTTGATTTTTGTAGATCAAATTACTACAAATAATATGAAATAAGAAATAGTAAAAAATATAATTATTGTTTTAAAATGTTGTTTTGTATTGTCTTAGAATTATGTAATATTCAAAACAATATTGTTTTCTGAAATTATGAGTGTTAAATGGATCAATCCGTATATGAATTATATAATAGGTACCTAAGATTATTATTTTGATATAATCTATCGATTTAAGTAAATATTTTTCGATTTCAATATACATTTTTAATATCTTTAAAACTGAAATTTAATATTTATTTTCAGAAGATTTTCAACGGTTTTTTTTTATCGATGTTTAAAATCGATTTTACAGGGTGATTGTCGTTCTTAACGCTTGTACCATTATAGAACACCCCTCGTCTTGCAATTCGATTCAGGAGATTTCGCAAAACTATAATATAATTATATTATACGATATATATATACAGTGTGTTTGGGGTATGCATATTATATGTCTTACAACCAGAGGCACCCGCAAGCATAGGCTATGATGAGGATGAGGTTGAGTGGTGACTGGCGGGGTGTGGCGGTGCGCGGACGATAATGAAAAAAAAAATAATTGCTCCTCGAATACGCGTGATGTTTAATAATATTAAATGAGTAATTAAAATTAATAGTTCTCGTCGCCACCACTGGGCTCAGATCTACAACTGTTTTTTTCAATTTAATTTTTGCCAAAAGTTTGATATCCTCTTCTGGCGACGATTGCTGTTTGGAAAACGAAAAAAAAACCACAAACAATCGCACCCTGCAGCATAGGTATTTTGAAAAACTGCAGTTTAATATAGTAATGTACAATATATTAAATTATATTGGTATAGCAGTGCATCGGTCGTCTCACCGCCACCCCTATAAAAGAACGTTTACTATTATTATATAATATTATAAAAGTTCTCGACGACGACGCGGTGCTAACCCGAGTGCGCGAGAGGTTTCCGCCGCCGACACCCGGCGTGCGGCGGCAATATTGTTGACCGATTCGGGCGTGGGCCACCGCCGCCGCCGCCGAGTTCGATCCGCCAGGGCCGCGCACGCCCGGTCGCCGGCGCGGCCCCTCCCCGAGCCGTGCGCGTATACGCCGCCGCCGCAGGATCCGTCGAGCGCGCGTCCGCTCGGAGCTGCCGGTCCCTGCGCGCGCGCGCCCGATCGTTACCACTACTCGCCCGCGGATCATGACCGAAACCGCCGCCGCCGCCGCCGCTGCTTACCTCGCGTCAGACCCGCGTACGACGCGCAACGCAACAACAACAACAATCGTCGCGCGCGCTGCAGTGCTTTTGCGCTATTGTAGCGTAGGCGTATTATTACATCGTATTGCTCTTATGTACGCGGTTTTTCGGCCGACAACGATCGACGCTACGACTAAAACGACGACGACGACGGCCAAGACGCATCGCCGCCGGAATTGACCTAGTTATTTTTCGCGTTGTTTTTACCCTCGGGTTTTTCGGGTTTTTTCGTTTTGGTCCCGAGCCCCCCTTCACCCCTCGCCAACGTCCGCCCGCTAACCGATAAATTGCTCAACAACCGCCGTCGTATACCCTACCCATACGACACGGCCATCGCGTGCCGGACCGAACGACGGGGCGCTTGCTGCTGCAGTGGCGTTGTCGTATATACACGCACACACCGCATACCGCAGTTTACCGGACCGGACCGTAGCCGCTCACCTGGACGCATACCGCGGCACGCACTTCGAACGGGGCGCGTGCTGCGCGAGTTCGATCGATCACCAGGGACACGCGTAAGTTTTTATACTTATTTGCATCGCATTAAATCATAATGAATTATCGAGTGCCAGTGGCGTGGCGAAGTGATCTAACCCTGCTGCATCATCCATATACTTGTCAACACATATACACACACACACACGAGTGTCTTATATTATGCATTTTAACAAATCGACCATACATATTATAATATAATGCTTTCGTGATTTCATTCGTTTCATTCCATGATATTATTATAATAATATATTGTGGAACATTTCGGTCATAATTATTAATTATTATTGTACGAAGTAGCTACCTATATAATTACATATTGCAATATGTGCCCTTCGGTATCACACAATCGAGATCCTGCATGTCCCTGACAATACGTACCCAATCCATAGTAAAAATCGAGCAACCTCCCCTAAAAAAATACGGTCATTCCACCACTGGAGCATCTGCAATGCGATTTCGATACTACAATAATATTACATACGCGTTATTCCTGCAATCTAGCATCGCCTAAATCTTTAATCTAGTGTTATATTGTTAAGATATCGTGATGGTTTATTTTTGTATGTTCTATAGCTGGTTAGTCGTAGGTAGTCAGTTATAGGTGTTATCATTGTAATCAAGCAAGTAGTCAGGATTTTTTAAGGTGGTAGTTTTAATATTATATAGGTATTTAAAAATAACTTGTGAGGGGCATTACACACTCTATTGTAGTTATCAATCTTCATATTTACATAATACCTATCAAATATGAAATTGAACCATGTGATAACATATTTTGTAGAAATTTGAAGCATATAACAATAATATTTATTTTCTCCACACATAACAACCCCCTAACTGCGTCACTGGATGCGATTGTGTGCCATATTTATAAATTTGGGATTTTCCTAATACCATAATATCGTATAGTGTTTTGTTATGTGTTTAGATTAGCTCGTTAGATGTAACTTTCCGGATGACGATTTGAGATTGCGATTGAAACCATACTGCCTTGCCGCTATGGTAAGTAATTTTGTGTCGTTCAAGTCTGTTTTTTTTTTTTTTTATTATTATTATGCAAACCGTGGTCACGGGATTTGGTTGTATTTTTTTCAAGGACATAACATGGCCGAAGACTATTGGCATGCCGGTAGCAGATTTATGGTGCCCTTGTCGTCGTTGTTGTTGCTGTTGTTGTTATCGGTATGCGCCAGTGCTCAGAGAACGCTGTTGTCGTCCGGTAAGCGCCGTTCACGGCTTAATTATTAAAAGTGCAAGCGCCTACAAAATATTGTACAATAATAATAATATTATAGTTTCGTTTATACGACGGTATTGAATGTTCCTCGCATGTTTATATAGGATGTGACAAGACGTTTGTGAGCAACGATGGTCCGCAAAATGGCACGTTCCGGGCTCCGGAGTTCACCAACATCTACGGCGAGTCCAAAGTGTGTGTGTATACTTTCGTGGCCGCCTCGCACCAGAAGGTCTTCGTCTCGTTCACCGCGTTCAAGCTCCGAAGCACACCTCCAGAGTAAGACGCTCCTTTTGAACTTTAAACAGTCCCACGATAAGTTTTGTAATAAAATATACAATGTAAATATCTTCACCACGTACCATCTCATACCATCACATACCACCCAGTACCCTCGATAATGACAATGACAACCAATACGCCTATTATATTATATTTGTTTAAATTTTAAGAACAAAAGTTCTTATGTTATATTATTTTTATGAATTGTTGCTATACGCATATGACGCATTACATTATGACGATGTACCTATTCGAGTCCATAAAGTTACGAGTTGAAGCCTTATAAGTTATAATATTATTGAATAGAAAGTACACGTCATACTAATCAATTCGTCATACCTACGTGTGCTATTAACCTATATTGTATATTGTAAAATTATAAGTGCATTATCGTCCTCAGATGCGTGCACGAATACGTGGACGTTTACTCGGAGGTTCAACAAGTCGATACGGAGGATTTGATCAACTCGCCGTTTGGAGGTAGATACTGTGGCCTAATACCACCGAGGGACCGGACGTCGTTGTACAGAACGGTAGCGTTTAGCTTCTACACGGACAAGAATACGACCTCGTCATCGTTGTTCGAGGGCTATTATTCGTTCAGCAACGACTGTAAGTATTTATCGAATATTGTGTAGGTCATATTATACATCTACAGACTGCGGTGGTCTCGTTAATTTTTTTTTCTATGAAGCGACTATTTAAATAAGTACCCACCTACCACTGTTCTCCATGTTAATGAGGATGGCTTACACCCACACCATCCACACCACCAAACCCAATTCATAAAATACATAAATTAATCTCAAATTATAAACGAATCTATCATTAAAATACCCTCCCCCACTTTTACATGAAGCATGCGCTTCATAAAATATATATTCATGCCAATGCACATCTATATGTAGATTAGAACGCAGCCAGACCTTTATCTCGATTGTTTATAATATGGTCATACGTAAACGTGTGTGTGTGTGTGTGTGTGTGTGTTTTTAGCCGCATTCCAACTGGGAACGCCGTCGCCGATCAGCCCGTGTTCGTTCGTCGTGAATTCTAATGTGAAAAAAATAGGCACCATACTCACGCCGACGTACCCGGGTATATATCCCAAAGGAATGAAATGTACATACTTATTTCACGGACAAGCCAACCAGAGGGTGCGGTTAGAATTCCGAGACTTTGACCTATTTTACGGAGGCCCGCAGTAAGAGTTTTTTAGTCCAATATAATATATATGCATTATACATATTATACTTGCTACATAAATTTACGGAATTTACGATACCATGGTTTTTGTTCATCCGCAGCTGTCCTTTTGACATCGTAAGCATTTATGACGGATCAAATACTACAAGCCCTTTGATTGGCCAGTACTGCGGTCAACAACGAAATTTAGTGGTCTACTCTACTAAAAATTATTTATACGTAACTTTCGACACACTTCATAGGGCCGCAAACACACAGAACCGCGGTTTCAAAGGCATGTTTGAATTTAGTGAAAGTTTTGTCAAACTCGGTAAGTCTCTCTCACATAAGTCACATACTGCAATATTCCTACAATAAAAACTTATATTATCATCACTAAATGGGTTTAATTTTCGTATATTTATCTAGATTTTATCGGTATAAACGACGGAGAACACGTTCGAGGCACCGAATGCGATCAAAAAGTGTTAAGTAAACGAACCTCGACGGGATTCATATATAGTCCTAACTATCCGTTTCCTTACATCCCAAAAATCGTGTGCCGGTATTTCGTTTACGGTCTCGAAGGTGCACAGGATTTGGAAAGAGTTAAACTAGAATTCCAAAAATTCAACATACCCAAAGCACATCTCAACGAACAGGAGTGAGATTTCACCACCAAATTTTAATAGGATCTAACGGTTTTTAAATGTCATTATTTTAATTTAAGATGCACGGACGGTTACCTAAAATTATACTTGAGAGGTCAAGAAGCCATGGACCTCTATGACAAGTTTGACTACGAAATGTGTGGTGACGAGGCCGACGAAAAGGTAGTGACGAGTGAAGGCGCTAGACTAGCAATGGTTTTCAGTAGTGGCGAACTACACGGTCGAGGATTTAAAGCAAAATATACGTTTGAAACTGGTAAGCGCTTGGTAGTAATTCTTTTTTAAAAATGTTTTATTCTATTCTCTGCTATTCGTTAGAATATCTTATACCCGGAACGGCTGCACCGAACGGTACGTGTCATTTTACTTACCGTAGCGAGTCCAAGAAGCGAGGAGATTTCAACTCGCCCAGACATCCGGCCAACTATCCCAACGGTCTTAACTGTACGTTTCTATTCTTGGCTACGCCCAACGAACAGGTCACCGTGATATTCGATCAGTTCAAAATCAAAGTTGACGTAGCCAACATTTCATTAGTACAATTTGGGTACGGAAACAATGATATTAATTCATACAGCGCTTATGTGTTGTCCGCTAGAAAACATTTGTTTTTACCACACCTGCGTGACATATTAATAATATTAATTATTATGGCTAAGATTAAAATGCATATTTTGCATTTTTATTTTGTATTAATATAATATTGTTATTCAGGGTGTTTGTTTGTAAGCAAGACTGGCTCGAAATATATAACATTTACAAAGATGGCACGGAGAAAATCGTCGGTAGATATTGTGGTATGACAGCCCCTGGACCGCTGGAATCGAACCGGGGAGCGATCGGCCTAAAGGTGCTACTACACACGAACTCGGAAGGTGTCTCTAGTGGCTTTAAGGCCAGATATTTTTTCGACGATGCCAAGCCGATATTTGGTGGTAAGTCGTGCAGTCCACTAATAACTTTAAATTCCTTTGAATCTTCTTCCACCCGGAAAACATGTACCTGTGTATTCCATAAATACGTGATATTATTCTTTATAATAATAATAATCGTTTTTTTTCAAGACTGCGGTAGTAATATCAGTAATGCAGATTCTGGAAAGGTGCAGAGTCCGAATTTCCCGCTCAAATATACTGCACCGGAAAAAGGAATGCCGAGCAGAACGTGCAATTGGTTTATAAATGTCAGGCCCAATTACAAAATACTGCTCAACTTTGTCTCGTTCTCGGTGGAAGGAGAGCCAGCAAGTAAGTACAAATCATTCGTCTATAACGCGTATTTTATTATGTTGATTACAATTTTATACTGCCATACACAGTATATAGCTTCACTATAATATGAACGAAATGTATTAATATGTATTTTTTAATTTACCGTTTCTGCAGCTAGAGGTTGTGCGACGGCAGTCGTCAGACTTTGGCCTACCGTAGGAGAACCGCCGTTGGAGTTGTGCGGTGAAAAGCCCATAGAGTCGTGGCAATTTATATCCGATTCCAATCAGTTCAGGATAAGGTAAAATAATGAAAAGAAAACAGTCACTATTTTTTTAATAACAATCGATATTATACAAACGAAATACATGATTCTGAACAAAACTTGGTTAGAAATGTAATATTTTATAAAATAATAACTGAAAATAATTGAATTCTATTTTTATATCGGTCTTACAGTTAATTACTGAGAGTTTCAAGTATCTAATCGTTAAACTATAACAGAAAAAGCAAAATCGATTTTATGAAAAAGGGGTGTGTCGTAAATTGGAACGTTTTTCCCTTCCGTATTGTACGAAAACGTGAGAAAATCAAATAAATGACCTTTTTAGTAGGTACTATATATTATATATAATAAAGTACAATCTACCATTAATTTCGCACCGGAAACTGGGTGAGCACGAGCTGATCGAATCCGGAAGGAGTTTCTACCCGAAAAAAGATCACGGACATAATACAAATTTAAAAAATATACATCATCGTAAAACTTCGCTCAGAAAATCCCAAGCTACACAATTACACGTACCACCTACCGATCCATCAGAATAAAATATATAATATATATATATAGTATATACATATTACATAATAACATTCGGCGGCGCGTCTGATCGATACAAATATATTATAATGGTACCTATAGTTGTAATAATAGTATGCTTATCGTTACAGTTTTGTCGTGGCCGACAAATCGGGTAACGGCACCGGGTTCGCCGCGACTTGGACCGAAGTATTGGAAAATTCCGACTCGTGTCCGGGGTTTCAATGCGAAAACTCGAGTTACTGCATATCCAATCAGCTGAGGTGCAACAACGTGATGAATTGCGGGTTCAACGACGTGTCGGACGAGATCAACTGTGAGTATTATTTACTAGATCCTTTGTAATGGTAATGTCATTGACGCCAGACGAAGATGACGTGTACTGAAAACGGGGAAAAAATAGGGCCACGTAATAGCGTTGCATTTACTCAAGTCGGATAAAATCATATGAATATAACATTATTATATTGTTGATGGTCGTTTAGATTTTTCCGTTTACGGGGAAAATCGCCCGGATCATTAGGCAACCTAATGTACATTTAACGATATTTTCCGCCTACGTTTCAGGGGATATACTTTCGGTGCTTGATCCATATATTTTGATAATTTTCTCCTTATTGACTGTTAAAACGAATCACGCTCTACATATTTATATTATTACACTAGCTTATATTATAATAATATATTATATTACATTACCTATATTATTATCGCAGTTATACGACTTAAATCTAAAAATTGGATTTTTATTTTAATATAGTGCCTATTTGAAATTATTAGAAATAATATTATGTATGTTATTAATTAATAATGTAAATAATTTTAAAAGTAATTAAAATATAAAACTTATATGTTAACAGTATAGTTTTAGTACTAGGTAAATATTTTCTTATCCTATAAATAACACAACAATTACGTCTTAATAATTGATGTAATATACAATATTGATATGAAATAAACGAATAAGTGAAATAGAATATTACTGATGGTTAGTTTTCAAACACCACGAACACTAAAAAAAATGATAATGACTACCGTGCTCCGAACGACTGCGTGTTTTTGTATTAATTTATTATTAAACATTATAATTTCAACGAGCAAATATTAATCTTAAACGGCAGACGGAACCATTGATACGAAGTATCTGGTCGGAGGTTGCCGACACGTACTTTATATTGTATACAATATAGTCGTGTATGCAATTATATAAAGCGGAAAGTTCACATTCATGTTTTCGAGAAAATAGAGATTTGCCTCGAAGACGTACGATTATTTATTTCGCGTTCACTCGATAACTCATTTATATTTCGTTCGTTCACCAAAAACGTATATATAGTTACACGTTTTCGTGCGAGCTTGATGTGTAAATACTTACCGTATATTATAATAACAATATAATATAACACTGCAAGTATACACAACGTAATACATATATATATATTTTATGTATCGGCTGTAAACTAGTGCTGGTATTATGGCAGTGGCGGCGGAACTATCTAAAAATCATAAATCATTTGAGTGTGGTTTTACGACGGACCCTCCGCGCTCGCGTCTCGGCTATAATATATATATAGAAATAAATACGCTCACGCCGAAGTCCCGTCGTATAATAACACTGTAGTAATGAACCGAATACAAATTTCCCGTGTGAGTGAGTGTGTATACAGTGTGATTCACCAATCATGCTCGTCCCCGTTTTTTCATTTAATAACGAATTTATGGAAACTTTTTATTTTTGGAATTTTCAAATTTACTCGAAAACCAAATTTTTAAATTTTTGAGATTTTTCACTATACTATCGAGGATTGTCACGCGGTGATTCAAAGTTCGCCATACAAATGAAAACTCACCTTTTTTAATGGATATTTTTTTTAAATTGTTTATGTACCTACCTAATTCAAAATTAAACCATTGGTTTTTCAGTTATTAAAATGCTCATATTGAGGATGGTAGGTAGTTCTTAAAAATGGTTTTACAAAAATGGAAAATAAATATATACCTAATATTGGATCTAGTATTTACTATACTTGGACTATATTATTTTTATAAGCTATAAATATTTATAGATTACCTAATAAAAATTATTGACATTTTTAAATTACCATAGCCACAGTATTTTCCAAACCCATTATCATAATGGACAATTATCCTTAAAGTTGAATCACTCGAAAACCGAGTCGTTCGAATATTGCTTTTGATACGTCGAATTTCCAGAAAAATTATCCGCTAAATAATTTACAGTAGAAAAATTGAGTTCTCATTTGAAAAATAGAAGTGACGTGTATCTCCATAGGGTCCACACCTTAAGTAGTACGTGAAATCTCAATAGTTAGAAAATATATATAAGTACCGTATTTAAACACTCCAAATATCAAATTCTGAATGACTGCATATTGTCGGAGAAAAAAAAGACGGGTGACTATAATACATCTTGGTGAATCATCCTGTACACACACTTGTCTCCAAATATTCTGCTTAGGTACCGGCGGAATCGGCCGAATGTGTTGTTCGGCGTTTGATCGTAAAACAATATTGATGCCGCCACCGCATATCTATATGACAGCATACGTGATGGAAATAAAATGGCCAAAACTATATCGATCGACCGGGAATATTTTATTTCGTAAAGAACGTATATTATATATATACACACTTTCGTTACGGGGGCGGGTTTAATCGATATTCGAAGGAGCGGAGGGTCTATGTAAGAATAGTGTACCAGCGGAAAAACATTCTGTCGAACAATTTTACTTTAGTACACAAATTTGCAAAACTTCAAATCAGACTAATTATTTAATGATTTCGTTCATACTCATTAGTCATTAGTATATTGATTACTTTAAAACAAAATTAGGAGGGAAAACCCCTTAAATAAAAATTGAGGTTAGTTTTTATTAGAGAGGTGTAAAATCTTAAAAACCGGACTTTATTACTCTATAGATGTGGGATTTTTCACGATTTGGTGCGGTACACGGAATATGAATTCGATATAATTCCTGTGCGGTAAAAGTGATGAGGGTGGAAACATGGTATTACAACCATATCTTTCATTTCATTAAAATATTTAAATCCTATTAACGGTTTTCTTTAAAAATGCATCCCCCATAAAATGTATTACTATTAAACACGATATCTTCTATTCTTACTCACATGATGCACTTCATATAAAATATACTATAAAATACATAGGTATTGTATTGTTTTCGTGTAGTTTTAATTTGTTTAATTTTAACAACGCAATGAGACAACTACATTGAGACGTTTCCCCTTGTTTTTACGAATAGCATATACCCACAGGCCACAATATCTTTTCAAGGAGGTACAAAAGTTTTAAAAAAATGACCACATCCTTCCCTCTCAGACAAAAAATAAATGATAAAAACATCGTATCTATAATGAAACTTATAATAATTACAACTTTTAAAATATGTCTTGGTAACCGTATGGTTGCTGTTAATAGATTCTACTTGGCACAGCCTGTTCTACCGACAACCTATCGATATACCTAGTCCACTGTAACTTTACGGGGTTTAGTAAGTTCCCACACGAAACATAGCAGGTAATAGGGTACATATGTAAGTTCCCTCAAGGAAAAAAATACACCTGTACGTAAGTTCCCTCACCAAAATTTATTCAGACTTAGAACTGAAAACTTGAACGTAGTTGGTCCAAATATATAATAAAAATTAATAATATAATGTGTAGGTCCACATATTATTTGTACTTTCGCAAGCGTTTGTAGTAAGACTTGTATCAGAACTATTACTAGCCCAAATACTAGGGGGGAAACTATATCAATAACAAGATATGAAATAATTACACAGTATGGCTATGTGAAGTGTTTGAGCTTCCGCAATAAGCCAAATAAGCCATGTCCTAAGTCTAAAGAAGTGGAAAGGATGTTTGTATTCGGTGAACTTTTTTTTCGTGTGGGAACTTATGTATGCATACCCGGGTGTCATTTTTACCTGCTATATATCGTGTGGGAACTTACATTCGCCCACCTTTACCACCCCAACGACCATCATACCTATACCTTATATACCTCTCCACTACGACGTCATTGCCACAGTACCTTATTATTATTATTATAAGACTCCACCAATCCTTATATTTTGTGTCTCGCGGCCTATACCTCGGACCGCTTAACTACCCCTACTACATCGTGTGCGTGCGTGTGCTGTTTGGCAGGTGCGATGGAACCGGAGGCCATGGACAACGTGGTGCTGTCGGCGGTGCTGACCATGTGCACAGTTCTGGCGCTCATGCTGGCCGGGTGCCTGTGCTGCCGTCGGCGGTCGGGCTCCGGGCGCCGCGATCGGTTCCGGCGGGGCGTCGGTGGCGGCGCGGGCGTCGTGGGCGGCGGATACAACCGGCACCGGCGGCACCACCAACACCACCATCAACACCATCACGAGCCCCGGCCGCCGTCGCTCCGGTCGCTCAGCCCCACGCCGTCGTCCGGCCAGCACGTGTGCGACGAACTGGGCGAGCGGTTCGCCAGCGTGGACAGCGTGTGACGTCCACTGCAGTACCGCCGCCGACGCCGCCACCGCAACCAACACCACCGCCGCCGCCGTCGCCGTCGCCGCCGAGACCGCGATGACCACCTCGCGCACCGCCAGAGTCCTGCTCATCCTCCTCCTCACCATCATCAGCAGCAGCAGCAGCAGCAGTAGTAGTAGTAGAGCCCGTTTCGCCCCGGCCACGCTCCCCGTCGACTTCTGCAGGAGTCGCGGTGGTCGATCGCCACCGTGACCACCCCTAATCGCTCAACAGTCACCGCCGCAGTATTATAGGTACCCCCTGTACTATATATTATTATAATATGGTATTATAGTTTGCGCGTGGTGCGCGAAAATTAGTCGTGTCCATAAACTAATCTTAGTTCATGGTCGTGTCAATCCTATAAACGTCGAACGGTTCTTAGATAATGATATTATAATTGTATAATATAATATTAAAATTGTATAATATTATGACGTATTGTACGAATTTTTTGTCATTTCGTTTCTCGTGTTCGCCATCACTTAAGTACCTACATAATATTATTATTATATATATATAAGCTCGCGTATTGAGATTGATTTCCCCGGAGACGTTTTTCTGGAGCGGATTTCGTTTTGTTTCGTTTTTTTTAATTTTAATTTTGTTGTTAGTTTTGACTAAAACAAACCACCGATAATCACAGATGAGGTCTGAAGACTTTCACACCCGCAAAGGACGACCGTTAAGGTAAAAACACTTCACTCTCTGCTCTATACGACTAGCAAAGTAATAATTTTCGTTTAAGTTTTCCACCGCCTTCCCACCGCCCCTCGTCATGCCCACCCCATACATATATAGGTAGTATAATAATTGATAGTATAATATTATATGTATCGTTGTATATTATGAGAAGTACGAGATATTAAATATCTACTGTACATTGCTCTTCAAAATCGTTCAACATCATCACGTCGATTATATAGAATAATTTTCCTTATATTATAATAACACAATTCGATCAGCCGGGAACAACATTTACGACAATATTAAAATATGATCTGCAGCTGCACACCTCCGCAGTATTACATATTATCATTATTTATACAATATATACATATTATATGCATAATGTACACTAACTATAATAAAATGTTAATCAGATAGAATCAGCGACTTATTATATTATATTATAATACTTTTAGGTAATATCAAAACGAATTGAGTTAGTGTGTGTGTGCTTGTGTGCGTATGTGGAACTTGCAAAGTTTTTTTGCTTCTTCTCTTGCGTTATATGATGATAATGATGATGATGATGATGATATGTATATATATATAAATAATATAATATAGTAAAGACGACATTATACCCCCCGCCGTCCCGTACACATACAAGGGTATGTGTTCTGGGTAAATATCGATCAGCTTGTCGTTTCGGGGAGCGTCCTTTTTATAGCTCCATCTAGCGCACTCGGTGATCGTCGAGGAGGGCAGCTGAGCGCATCCCGTTCGGCCGTCGACGCCGCGTGTCGGTTTCCTTCCTATATAATAATTTACTAATAATAATATAATAAACCTACAAAAAAAAATTATAAATATATTATAATATTCAATATAACATTACAACAAAATATAAGCAATAACGTCGTCGACACGCGCACGGCTAGTTTTCAGTGTGTGTTTTACTATACATTGGGGAGTGAGGGTCAAAAATGGAATCAATTGCTCAATCATATTAAGCCAAAATAATAATACTAATATAATAGAATTCCCGATTTTTGCGTTTGCTGCCACTTTTTTTTCCGGGGAGGCAAAACGGGAACGATTGCGTTTTTCAAAATGTTCGTTGCTGAAAGACTAGTCGTGGCGATTTTTTTTTTTTTTACCTCACAGTTTGGTTTAAGTATAACATAATATTATGAAATATGTATTATTATAATAATATGTATTTAATAATAATATAATATAAACGATTTTTTCGAAATTTCAAAAGGCTGGAGTTTAGACAAATACATATTTTGTTATCTATTTATAATTTTAGGTTTTGTTTTTAGATGAAACGTCATATAACCGCTTTGGACCTCTTGTTATTATATTATTATATACAATAACAGCGCTTATTTATACCTAATATATAAATATATAATGTTACAAATACCCGAACGGTCTCGATAATATACTACGACATTTGTTTCGTAGTCATATATTATTATTATGTATAGTATAGTTTTTTTTGTACATCATCGTAATGATCCGATTGAGATTTCATCGACAGCGTGTCATGATTATTATCTTGTGTGTGTAGGTAATCTATTCGTAAAACACTACACGACATATTATATTTTGTTTCGTTTTGTTTCCAAAAAAATTTTTAGCAAACGTTACAAACTATTATTAAATTGTTTTTTTTTTTTTGTTTTTTGGTTTTTGGTTTCCTGCACAATAATGTTGTATAATATTAATCTAAATGAAACGCACTTGTAAAATCTCTAACTATTCGTTTGCCAAATCAAGCTCAAGGGGTGGACAATTCAAATAACTGTGGGTCGCGCGTATATTGAATTGAACTGCTCAACTCGATGACTTCCATCCACTAAAAAGTTTTGGGCCCCAAAAGTCAACAAATAGACGAAAGTCTTTCACTTCCGGCCATTACATACACACACATATTATAATACACCCTGTAGGAAAAATAGGTATGTGTCATATAGGTTAGGTACATAATTAGGATAAATTATTATCGAAATTCCGGAGTGAAAACAATTATTGTAATGAATTTCTTCCAATTTTAATAAAAATGTAACGATATTTAACATAAATAATAATAATTAATAATAATAATAATAATAATAATAATGATAAATTTATACATAATATTATATAATATTTGTATCGGCAATCTACTACCGACAATGTGTATATAACATAATAAATATAATTATACGTTAGCGTAAGTGTATCGAACTTTTGTTATGGATTTTCGTTAAGTTTTTAACTATCGTATTAATTATACTCATACGTTGAATGTTTTGCTTGTAATATTGTTAGTATAAAAATTGTGTTTTTTTTATGGCAAATATTTTTTTTTCTATTGTTACACGATATTTGAGTATACCTCGTTAATGTTTACATAATAAAATAATACTACGCGTAGTCCCATAGAGGTCTAGTGTAATAACATTGTTTAAGCTCTAAAACGTGCTGTGTAACATTATTTTGGTGCATATTATTACTTATGAAAAAGTAATAATATTAATTTAGTCTATTTATATTTGTATCTAGTCGATTGTGACGTATGAACAACTATAGTCTCTAGTCGTTATTACAAGTAAATATTATTATTATTAATATAATTAATATATAATATTGTACTAATATACTTTTTTGTAGTAATATGTGTTTCCGTTTACAAAATAAAATGAACATGTGCGTGGTTAGGCCGTTAAACCAATCAAGACAAAACAATCTAATTAATATTTAATATTACAAATAAAAACAAATCTTTTCGATCGGTTAAAAAAAATCGTCGAAAAAAAATATAATACTATATATTATACAGGACCAAAATTCATTAATATTGTTTAGCTTTCTCTTCTCGATGCTCGATGCTTACATCTTATTCAGACCAAAAAATATTATATTATTCGTTTCATCTATATATAATATACGTTTCGTTCATCTGAAAAACGAACGTGTTTCAGTCCAGTAAGCTAATATTTAGCACACGGTAAATTTTTTTTTTATTTACCAACAAAACACTGCTCAATGTTTTTGTTTAATTTATTATTTGTTTTTGTTGTTGTGAATTGGACGGGCTGCAACAAAATAACCACATTATAATAATTATGAATATAAACAATAAAACTGCGTCTGTGCCTGAAGTACGGATCGCACGGGTTTACACGTACAATCCTATTATGCCTGTAAATCCCGAGTTGTACCAGTTAAACGCGCAACTTTTTTCGCCGTCCGTCCAATTTTTAATCGTATGTCGTAGCTTAGTGAAAAACAAATTTAAACATATGGTTAAGTGAAATCTGTATTAAACATTATTAGTCTATAATATATATATATATATATATATATATATATATATTTAATAATATATTATAATATATTATATAATATATAAAATAATATCATAAAACTTTTAAAATTAATAAAATAAATCAAACATAATTTAACTATTAAAAAATACCTTATATAAATACATAATATGATTTATGTAACTTAGGCGTACGTATGTATATGTAAACAAATATTATGTTATAAGGACAAAAATCAACATTTGTATTGTATTAATACAGTAAGTAAAACAAAATGTCCTAATGGAAAATCATTGTTGACAAACTTTCCTTTTTAGATTGGTGAAAATCATACAAATATTAAATTACCTAATTAAATTATTTTTACGTTTATGTATGGCCAAAGCGTGTTTTTAGTTTTGTTTTTTACAGTCAATGTTAGGTACATAATATTATTATTATGTTGGTTAATTAATTAATATTTATATAATTATGTATTATCATTATGAAAATATACTTAATAGGAATTATAAAAATGTGTTTTTTTTATCTCCCATATTGTCTTAGTACGTTATTGACACACGTACACATATAACATATAACAAAATATATAAAATCATATTCCATTATACATTTGAATTAAATTTCAAAAAATTAGCCATCGAATAATTTACCTAATAGATAACAAAAAAATCCCTATAAATGTGTACAAATTGTAAGCATATGTCCTAATAAAATACAATTATATTTTACTAGAAGTATGCTATATAGTATAGTATACTGTTCGTGATAGTATTTTAAATTTTCGTTTGGCTTACAAAATAAATTGTTAAAGGTAGTTAAGTTAAACGAATCGAAAAAATATTATTGTTTTTTTTTTTTTGTTATGTTTTTATATATAAATTATTATACTTATGTACTTGGTCCTATACTCCTATATACTAATTTAAAGTACTTACCTCAAAGTTTGATGTATCCTACAGTGCATCATAATTTATAAGGTGTGCGTA